ACAAGATATTGAAATATTTAATAAGTAAAATAAATAAAATTTTGAAACCTCTAATTTATAATTTTTCATGTCAGATTAACAATTGATATTCGTAAAATAATAAATTTCGTTTAAAAATTAACAACATACATTGAGTTATTATATAGAAGTGGTTTTATGCTTGATTTACTACTTATAATTTTTTTTGCCATATATATATTGAAGAGTTTGGTGGTCACTATTTGCTTTTTAGGTGGTTTAGTGATGAGAGTCATAGAATTAAACCCATCTTTAACCACCTAAAAATTTTAATTCTAAAATAAAAAATACCAGCAGTAGGGACTCTGGAGACTTTGACCTCGTTTGGTTGGGGGGAGGGGAGGGGAGGGGCCTCATTTGGTTAGGAGGAGGGGAGGGAAAATTTTTAAAATTTTCCCTCCCCTCCCCTCCAAATTGAGAGGGAGCTCCCCTCTCCTCCTTTTCCCCTCCTCCCCCTCCCCTTCCCTTCCCTCACCTCCCCTCCCCTCCCCTCCCCTCCTTTTCCTTTTTCTCTCCTCGAACGAAACAGACCCTTTGTTGTTGGTTGATGGTGGTTTGATAATTGATGACGGTGGATTTTTTTTTATTTTTAATTGATGAACATTTCAGTTTTTTTGCATATGAAATTTATATGTTAAAAAGATGAGCGCTACAGTAATATTATGAAATGATTTGATTCTTATAAAATATAAATATTATACAATGGTTCATAAATATTATTTTTCCTTAATTCAACAAAAGATAAGGGATGTATTTGTCATTTAACTATTTTTTTAATATTTTTACCCACCAAATACAAGCAGGGATTTCTTTTTCTTCTTCTTCAATGCTTGACATGACATGACGCCGTCACTAATTTCCAAAACCGTACAAGGCGTTCTTTGAAAGCATTAATAATTGATAATTTTTTTTAAATATAATAAATATGACACAATATAATATAATAAACAGTACACTGTTGGTTGTAACATTAAGATGCCGTCCATCCCTACCAGAGCTTCAGATTTGCTTCGTCTTTGATAATTTCAGTTCATAGCTTTGCTACTCGCGCTTCTTCTGTGTTCCCTTGCCTTCTCTGATTTTCCTTTTGCCTTCGTATTCTTCAAAGACCAAAAAAAAAAAAAAAAAAAAAACCCAAAAGTTACTGCTTTGCTTGGCACTTCAATTTGGTTTCTGATACATTTTCATCCGTTGTTCTCAATATCTTTTCAGTGTTGCAACACTCCTTGCCGGCTTTTTCTTTTTGTAATTCTTTATTTCTCAACTTTTTCTTAAACGTCTTTTCTGCAAGTTCGTTTGGATTTCTTGTATCTTCTGATTTCTGTTTTTTCTAGTCTCTCCAATATTAAAAAAAAAAAAATTAAAGAAGTTCCTGAACCTGCTGCTTCTGCATTTGTGGGAAGCAAAATCTGTTCCCTAAAGTTGTTCCAAACACCATAAAAGGATAGTCTCCTGCTTGATCTGTGTTGAACTACTAAGGAAAGCTAATTTTTGCTGGGAGATCTAAGGCTACTACCTTGAAACCACAAAGTTCCGCATCAACTACTGTAAGTTTGAAATTATAGATTCATGCCGAAGTCAGAAATATTTACAACGTTCAATTTGTGTTTTACTGTCTACAGTGTATTCAGAGTATAAAGAGCAACCAGGGAATAAAAAAAGAAACATTTTCCGAACTTGTTGAGTGCAAAATTACTAAAGGTGTGTTCGATCTCCTTAGTTTTATAATTTAAAATTTTAGTTTTTATTTAAAATTTTAAAAAATAAAAAATAGTAAAATGCGCTTTTATGCCTGCTCTCTTAACCTTTTAAACAATGGTTGGAGTTTAGAAAATAATTGTTTTTACAGTAATCTGGTTTGTATGGGTTAAGGTCCAAGTGAAATTTTTGTTTTATTTTTATAAGATGACTATACAAATTAGTTGTACTTATTTAATATTAAATTTTTTATAATTTTTAGTCTTTTGAAATGTAATTATTATTTTTATTTTTAAAATTTTTTTGTTAATAATCAATTTATATTTATTGTAGGGTATTTAATAAAAGTACATATGAAAAGATAAGATTAATTAAAAAATAGATAATTAATTTGTTGAGGGGTAAAATTTGGTTAAAAATGTTTTGCATTTTTGAGTGAAGGAGTATAATTTTATTGTGTTTAGTTATTAGTTTTTATATATTTTTTTTAAATATTATAGGTTGTTATCAATTTTTTAATCTGCAACATTAGTCCTTAATTTTTTGAATATGCCCAGGAAGAATGATGATGTGGCAATAACTGTATTAAATTTATCAAAACATTTTATGCATAAGATAAAAAAGTTTGATCCGCACGATGCTGGCAAGTGCTATCATCGTAATAGTTTTTGTCAAAAAGCAATTGTTCTTTTTTTTTTAACCTCTAATTCAAATTACTAATTCATTGTATTTTAAATGTGTTGATATTCTCATTAATGATGTTAGTGAAACATTAGGTAATATAAAGGTTATTAGTACCACGTCATCATTTTTTATGGACATATTTAAAATCAAGGGATCAATATTGTAGGTAGGAAAAAAATAAAGTGACTTGGAACATAAAAAAGTAGACGAACCAATAAAAAAGGGGAATAAAACTACGAAGAACAATAATTATTTTTTTATCTTATATATATATATGCAGATTCTAAAAAAATGATATATTAATGTTTAGTTATTTTAAAATATTGCAAGGTATTTCAAAAAGGAAAATGGTAGTATTGAAATTTAAAAAATAGACTGTTCATTATTCCATCATATTTTTTAGAGTTGAAAATAAGAGCGTGGCTTGGAGTTTTTGTTTATATAAAGGTTTGGATTTTGAAAATAATTTTTTTTAGAGTAATCGAGTTTGAAGGCTTGGCCTTAATAAGTCATGTAAAAAAAGGTTCGGCCTCGAGCGGTCTTTTAAGCCTTGTTATATTATTATTATTATTATTTTCTTTGATGGAATACGTGTTTGAAGCTAAATGACTTACTCACCTGATTTTATATGCATTATATTATTATTAATTTTAATTTATTCTAAAACTAATTTAATAAATATTACTGTATGGTATAAAATTTTTGATATTTTTATTTTTCTATAATTATTATGTTTTTATTTTATAAAAAATAAATATTTTTCATCAAAGCTTTAAATTTTAATATTAGATTTTTAAATGTATGTTGTTTAATTTATAAAAAATTATGAGGATGTAAATTTTTTTAATTTTAAAATATTTTAATTAGTTTATAATGTTTAATTTTACTCTAATTTTTTAACTTTTCAAAAAATGACTTGGGGGCCTGACCGTGGCGTGAGCCTTTCACATAAGGGTTGAACTTGAAAAATGAGGTTAAAAATGAGGGAAGGGGGCTCTTCAAGGTCGGGCCCGCGCGTAATTCCAACTCTAATATTTTTAGAAGGAAGAATCACAATGAAATCTATAACTTATTTTAAAAAAATAAGTTGTAAATATTTATTTAAATAATTGTAAATTTAAAAATTTCAATTATAAATAAAGTATTTAAATTTTAAATGTAACTTTTAATATGTAAATAAAATGAAGGTATTTATTTTTTTAAAATAGAAAATGATAATCAATTTATTTATATAATTATAATTATAATTATAATCTTAATATAATTATTATTTTTTAAAAATATTAATTTTATACTAAATTATTTTGCATCATCTAGTTTCCTAGCTGCGTCAATAATAACAAATAGATGAGTATGGTTGTCCTTTTATTGAACATGTCTTTGTCATTTAACTCTTTCTTTAGCATTTTCACCAACCAAATGCAAGCAGCTGTGAATGCTTTTTCTTCGTCGTCTTCAAATGCTTGACATGACATGACGCAGGTCCTCATTTCCGAAACCGTACAATGCTGGCTGCGACATAAACTTTGACTCCCCTCCCTTCATAACTGAGCCGGTCACTTTGCCTTCACTTCTTTTTTTTTTTTTTTCCCTTTTCCTTCACTTCTTCCATCTCCATCATCCAAATTTTTTATTAAATAATTTTTTTAAATAAAAAAATTAATGAACGGTGAGGATGGAAGAAGTGAAGAGAAATGGAGGAAAAGAAAGTGAGAAGGATCCACTTCCCACTTTGCCGTCCATCCCTACCAAAGTTTCAGATTTGCTTTAATTTCAGTTCATAGCTCTCCGACTTGCGCTTCTTCTGTTATTCCCTTGCTTTCCGTGATTTTCCTTTTGCCTTCGTATTCTTCAACACCCAAGAAAAAAAAAAAAAACGCTGAAGTTACTGCTTTGCTTGGCACTTCTTCAATTTAGTTTCTGATATGTTTTCATCTATTGTTCTCATTAGCTTTTCAGCGTTAAAAACACTTCTTCCCTGCTTTTTCTGTAATTCTTTATTCCTCAACTTTTCCTTAAACGTCTTTTCTGCAACTTCTTCTGCGATACTTGTATTTTCTGATTTCTTTTTTTTTTAACTCCAATATTTAAAAAAAATAATTAAATAAGTTCAGAAGCTCCTGAACCTGCTGCTTCTGCATTTGTGAGAAGCAAAACTGTTTCCTAAAGTTGTTCCAAACACCTGTAAAAGATAGTTTCATGCTTGATCTGTGTTGGAGCACTAAGGAAAGTTGATTATTACTAGGAGTCTGGGTTAATACCTTAAAATCGCAAAGTTCCACATCAGCTACTGTAAGTTTAAAAATATAGATTCATGCCAAAGTCAGAAATTGATATGTATTTACAAGGCTCAGTTTGTGGTTGATTTTTTGCAGTGTATTGTCACCTTTCAGAATATAAAGAGCAACCAGAAAAAAAAAAAAAAGAAACATTTTCCAGCCTCACTGAACGCAAAATTACCAAAGGTGTGCTTATCATCTTAGTTTTAGTATGTTTTTCTGACAACTTTTGTGTTCCTCTTCCGGCGCTTTGCTTTTTACCGTTCACTAACCTCATCAGTCTAATTGGACTATATGGATCAGGGCGGGCTCTAGTTGTCACCAGCTGCCGCTAACCCACCACCAGGAAGTTGTCACTACTAACATGTTTACAGTGGAATGGAACCCAGATGAGTGACTAGCCGTTTGTCTTGTCCCACTTTTGGGGTTGGCTTTCCTCCGCCACTCTCACTCTCCTGCCCCTGTTGATTCATTCTATGCACATTTAATATTAAATTTTTTTATAATTTTTATTTTAATAATACAGTATTAAAAATAAAGATAATCTTTTAATATAAATATTTATTAAATAAATTATGAGTTAAAAATTTTAAATCGGTTCATGATATATTTGGATAATTAATTTATAAAAATTATAATTAAATTTTGGATCACTCATATTAAATATAGACTATTCAGGATGTTGATCAGATTGAATATAAATTTTTTAAATAAATATAAAATTAAAATTAAAACATTTATTGTGATTTGTTAGATTAGATGTGGACAGTTTAAATTTAATGGTGCTGGATGAGGGTGAGTTTGCGGCTTTATCCCTTTGAAATTGAAATTGTAGTTTTGTGCTCTTTACTTTGATTTGATTTTTTTTTTCATTTTTAAATTTTTAATTCTTTATTTAAAATAAATTTGGGATATTTGGTCATGATGTTGGATTGGAACTTGGAAGGACCAGGGAGCTACAACTAGAAGTTTACAAGGTCAAGACTTGGAATCTAGACGGACCAGGGTGCTACAACTATAAGGTCTAGATAGTTTGAAGACTGCTTTTTCTTAAAAAAAAAAAAAAGTTTAGACATGGGGAAAGTTATAAAAATTTAATCAAATTTTTTTTATTTAATACCTAATGTATTTAAGTTTGGGTTATGAAACATTTTTTGCCTCTAAAATATTTTTTAAGGAGCGTCCAGCATCCTAATATCTTTTTATGAAAGCAATTTTATCTTTAAAGTTATTAAAATAAAGCATTTTTGTCCTAAAATTTTAATATTAACTTTAAACATTGACTGTTAAAAAAATTTGATAAAATGGGAAAAATACTTTATTTTAATAACTTTAAAGTCAAAATTATTTCAATAAAATATTAGGATATTAAGTGCTTATTGAAAAACATTTCAGGGAAGAAATGCACTTTTGCCCATAAATCTTTAAGACAAAATATAGTGACCGCTCTCCAGTTTTGATAAAATTAAACCTCCTTTCTATTTTCAATACATATCCTTTAATTCAATTTTTAACACAGTGAGGAATATTTTGTTGAAGATTTTATATACTTAATTTATTGTTTTTTATTGTGTTGAATATTTTAAAATTATTATTTTGCTCTTATAATCTGTCTAATCTCTTCCCTACGTTGAAAAACTTTAAATAATTTACTGTGTCAATATTTTAAATAAATAATTTAATTTTTTTGTTAAAAATTAATATATTTTTTAAAATTAAATATAAATTATAATGAATAATTTATTATATGAAATTCTTATTTTATTTTTTTAACTGCATGTTTGAAATATTATCTTAGCCTATTTATGCATTCAAATTTTTGAAAATGTTACTAAAAAAATATGCTTATATAACTAAAAAAATTTAACTTATCAATAAAAAAAGTAAAAAACATGCATTAATTTTGTTTTTGGATAAATTTAATGATTTTTAGATAACGTTTATGATTTTCAAACTTATGAATAATATTTTATTATTTTCAAATGCTACCCAAATCATTTGTTAAATGATAAGAATATGCTTTTTTTTTAATATTATTAATATTTTTAAAAATTTAACGAGACATTATTTTAATGAATTTTAGACAGGCAGCATGTGAGAACAGACCAATGAAGAAATCTTAGAAAGTTGGGAGAACAAGGGAATTCTAATTAAATTGTATGCTTTGGATTTTTCTTCTTTTTTAATAGGGAATAACTTATAAATTCAAACTTCTATGCTGCTTGTTTCAGAATTAGGTCAAGATATGTGGTTTCCTTATGTATTAGTTACCCTATAATAAATGATTGTTATTAATATTTTTAATACATTAAAATTCACCTATTTTAATTGGATAAAAATATATTAAATATTAACATATTAAAATTCACCTATTTTAATTGGATAAAAGTGTATTAAATATATAAGGTTAAGTTTTTAAGTTTTGCTCCTTTAATATAATAGAATAGAGTGATAATTGTCGTGCGTTTTTATTCTAGCCATTTAAATATAGTTTCAACCTCTCTGCATTTGTTATTTCAATTGTGTTGATTCTATTATTTAACTTTGCTCAAGTTGCAAAGATCTTTCATGGGTCCGGGTCCTCTCAGTGTCCCTTGACTTCCTTAAATTCTACCCGTTTAATGTGCCAAATCACAAGATTTTTATTTAAAAAAATGGGAATAAAATCTCAAAGGAAAAAAAAAAATTAATGACGGTAAGATCTCTAACAAATTTTTTAAAAATGAGTTGTAGAAATTTTTTAAAGGCTGATAAACACGCCGTCACATTCACAGAGATAAATACAGAATGCGAACATGTCCGACGTTTGGTGTAACATAAACATAAATGATTGACTTCGTCCCATCTTACAATTGAGGAATTTGGTCCTCTCATTATCATTTCACATCATCCTCCCATCTTAGTTATTTATTTATTTTTATTTATTTGTTTTTGATAAAGCATTCCATCTTAATAGAGCCCGTAACTTTGTTGTCGATCCCTACTAAAGCTTCAGATTTGCTTAGTCTTTCATGGTTTGATTTCATATCTCTCCGACTTGCCCTTCTTCTCTATTCCTTTGCTTTCTCTGATTTTCCTTTTGCCTTCGTATTCTTCACGACCCAAAAAAAAAAAAAAAAAACAAACTGAAGTCTGCAATTCGATTTCTGTAATTTTTTATTTCTCAACTTTTTCTTAAACGTCTTTTCTGCAACTTTGTTTGGATTACTTGTATTTCCTGATTTCTGTTTTTTCATGTCTGTCCAGCATTTAAAAGAAGAAGAAGAAGAAGTTTCTTGAATCTGCTGTTGCTGCATAGAAAGATAGTCTCGTGCTTGATCTGTGTTGGAGCAATAAGGAAAGCTGATTATTGCTGGGAGATCGAAGGTTAATACCTTGAAATCGCAAAGTTCCACATCAACTACTGTAAGTTTGAAAATCTAGACTCATGCTAAAGTCAGAAATTGATCTATATATACAAGGTTCAATTTGTGTTTGACTTTTTGCAGTGTATTCTCACCTTTCAGAATATAGAGAGCGACCAGAAAAAAGAAAGAAACATTTACCGACCTTATTGAACGAAAAGTTTACTAAGGTGTGCTCGATCTTCCTAGTTCTAGTCTATTTTTCTGACAACTTTTGTGCTTCTCTTCCGGGGCTTTGCGTTTCACCGTTCACTAACCCATTAGTTTGATCGGACTATGGATCAGGGCGGGATCTAGTTGTCGCCGGCCGGCGTTGACTCACCACCAGGAAGCTGCCGCCATCGATCAGGCCACCGAGCCGTCAGAAGTTTTGGTACAGTATGTCACGGGCTGAGAGTCTGGCGCAGCACACGGCGCCCGTGCGGCGTCCTGGAGGACCCCATAATCCTCAGGACAAGCCTTACCACATACGGATCACACTGGTTTCGCCCTGCCATGGGCTCATCAGGGAGGCGGCACTAGCCCCCGACCAGTTGTGCATACAGTCCGAAGACTGAGGCAGAACACTCTTAATGCTAATGTCGCCCCTTTTACCCATATTGTGCGAGGCTAACCAGCGGATCGTTCATTATCTTGGTCTTTACACGGTCACGGAGATATCATCCGTGACATTCTCCCACACCCAATCTAGCACGCCCTCGTGCTAGGGGAGAACGACTCCGCCAAGGATCGTACGTACAGTACTGCCACAAATACATCAGTTTACTGCTGAGTGGCCACCCGAGTCCTGCACTCTTCGGACCCACTCGCACCCGTGAGCCAACAGGAGTGGAGTCGACAACGGCCAACCTTCCCGCCCGAGTCTCCACTTTTGGACCCACCTGCTCGGAGGCCTTTCTGGAGCGGTGCCGAGGCCGACCAGTCCCAACGTGGGACCCCACGCGCACACGGCAGTAAAGTACGTCCCGCTCTGATATCACTCTGTCACGAGCTGAGAGTCTGGCGCAGCACACGGCGCCCGTGCGGCGTCCTGGAGGACCCCATAATCCTCAGGACAAGCCTTACCATATAGGATCACACTGGTTTCGCCCTGCCATGGGCTTATCAGGGAGGCGGCACTAGCCCCCGATCAGTTGTGCACACAGTCCGATGACCGAGGCAGAACATCCCCAATGCTAATGTCGCCCCCTTTACCCATATTGTGCGAGGCTAATCAACGGATCGTTCATTATCTTGGTCTTTACACGGTCACGGAGATATCATCCGTGACATTCTCCCACACCCAATCTAGCACGCCCTCGTGCTAGGGGAGAACGACTCCGCCCAAGGATCGTACGTACAGTACTGTCACAAACACATCAGCTTACTGCTGAGTGGCCACCCGAGTCTTGCACTCTTCGGACCCACTCCCACCCGCGAGCCAACAGGAGTGGAGTCGACAACGGCCAACCTTCCCGCCCGAGTCCCCACTTTTGGACCCACCTGCTCGGAGGCCTTTCTGGAGCGGTGCCGAGGCCGACCAGTCCCAACGTGGGACCCCACGCGCACACGACAGTAAAGTACGTCCTGCTCTGATACTACTCTGTCACGGGCTGAGAGTCTGGCGCAGCACACGGCGCCCGTGCGGCGTCTTGGAGGACCCCCATAATCCTCAAGACAAGCCTTACCACATACGGATCACACTGGTTTCGCCCTGCCATGGGCTCATCAGGGAGGCGGCACTAGCCCCCGACCAGTTGTGCACACAGTCCGAAGACTGAGGCAGAACACCCCCAATGCTAATGTCGCCCCCTTTACCCATATTGTGCGAGGCTAACCAGCGGACCGTTCATTATCTTGGTCTTTACACGGTCGCGAAAATATCATCCGTGACAAGTAGCTCAACATTTATGCGTGGCCTTTCTTCCACTATTTGTGGTTTTTACAATTACTGAGCTTTTTTTTTAACTAGATTTATTTTCGTGTGTGGTGCATGAGATATTTTAATATTTAAAAGATTAAAATAAAAATTTATTTTTGTATACTCAAAATAACATATTTTGTTATTTAAATAATAATTTATTCTACTGTAAATATTGATTTTGCGGATACATATTTAAGATAAAAATAAGTACTCATTTTTATCTTAAAGTATGTTATTCTTAATATGCATTTGTATTTTTCCTTTGATTAATATATGGAAAAATTTTAAAATCAAGTTCAAAAAATAAGTCCCCCTATAATTAATAAAAGAAAACAATTGCCCTCAAGAAATATTCCTGAATCTATTTTTGGTTATCCCATATAAATTAAAATTGAAGAAATACTTTCTATTTTGCAATGCACTACCCTTATCATAAGGATAACTTTTTAATATACATTAGGGCATTATGTATATTAAAAAATATAAATAGTATTTTTAAAAAAATTTTCACCTGCAAATTAAAATATAATTAACTTATGTTCTTTCAGAATTTGTTGGCCTATGCATTATTCTAATAAAAATAGAATGTGTACTATAATAAATTCTATACTATAATTTTTATCATAATAGTATTTATAAATTATAATTATTGCCAAAACTAAAAATAAATAAAAGAATGTATATATTAAATAATGATTTTAAATTATGCAAGTAGCGTGGCGACTATTATAGTACTCATTTTTAACTATTACCTTCGTTCTTGTATACAGGATGTTCTTAAGAAATTTAATTTGTTCTTAAATATAAAAGATGTCATGATAATTTTAAATAATTGGATAATTTTATCCTTGTCTTGAAAAGGAGGAAGGGACATTAATTGTGGGTTTTATGCACCTTTATGATATTAATTGTGATATTATTAAGGGTAAAATTAAAAAATAATTGTAATTTTTTTCAACTGCAAACTTTTATTAATATGTATGATTTAATTTAAAACATTTTACATATAAAGCCAGAGGGAGGCAGTACCGCATTATAATTACCTTTATTAAATGAATTATTTTTAAAATATAATTTTTCTTTTATATGTAACTTTTTCGTTGTTTATAAATAATAGTAAAGTGTAAAATTAAAAATAATAATTAATGATCCGCTTATCATGGAAAAAAAATAAAAATCAAATATACCTTATAGAATATAATTCATGTATAGCTTTATGGTAGTATTATTTATCAATTATATGTATTGCATGACAAGATAAAACAACAATTAAATTAAAAGAAGTTCAGAGATATACATGAAAAATAAGTTTTTTTCAAAAGTTGTTATTTTGTGCAACTACAAAGGTGCCCCTCAATTGTCAATTGGATTAGATTGGATCGAAAACCTGAAATATTGGAATGCATGTAAGAAAATGAAATTCCATTTTAATATGTATGTGTTACCTACCAAAAATTAAAATTTAAATAACACATTGTCTTATTTGAATTTTTTTATTTATGTACACAGTAAAAATATAAATAATATGCCCCATAAATACTAAAAGAATTATATATAAAAAATTTGTTACTCTATATATGTTAAAATTATAAAGAATAATTTATTATTCTTAAATGTGTTGTTCATAACTAAATTAAAATTTAAATAATAAAATTTTTTCTTTTACAAATTGTTATTTAGGTTTGTAATTTATTCTTCTATGCATTACTGTAAGCCACACATGATCCTTAAAAGATGCTTTTTGTTTTTCCTAAATAAGCCAATTTTCATCCTATATAGATTTATTTTATTTTATAATTTATTATCTTTTATATTTTAAAAGTAAAATTTAAAAAGTATTTTATGTAGAATTTGTTATTCCATGTGAGTTGAGATTTGAAACAATGAAAATTATCCATTAAATTGTACACATAATTTTTTTATTATTTATATAAATTAAGTTTGTAATTTGATTGCAATAAAATATTTTATTTTATAATTATTAGTTAAATTAATGTTTCTTAAAACAATTAATTATCTTATATATATACAAAATCCAAGTAATAAATGATGAGTAAATCTCTTACATCTACAAAAATAAAAAGTCTTGTATTATTTTTATTACGAATTTCATACAAATATTTTTATTGTGGGTCTCACATTTTTTGTTATAGGTCCCACATAAATTATATATATATTTTTTAAAATCATGGTATTGTTCATCCAACTGTAGATGAACAATAAGCGTAATATATATATGTATGTATATATATATGTGTGTGTATATATATATATATATATATATATATGTATGTATGTATATATATTACCGAAGCCTGGCAGACCCAATCCTGCCCCTCCCTGATTTTTTCTATCGTGTCCTCACAAGTATAGAATTTCTTTTTTTAATTTTTCACTTACCCTTGTGAGGGCAAGATGGGAGCAAGGAAGAACCTCCTCCCAAACCTAGCCTAGCTTTGTCTATTCACTTTAAAATTAAAATTTAGAAAAACATATTTTTGGGTTCTTGCACTTTATTCGAGTTTTATTATAGGTTTCTATACATTTTTTTTGGCATTTTAATCCTTTATGTTTTGTTTCCTATAATGTTTGTTTTTTGGCATTTTTTCTAATGTACCTTAGGTTCCTATAATCACTCATGAGAGAGACCTAAAACATTGAAAAAAAAAGTAAGGGGACTTAGAATATTGAAAAAATACATGAATTAATAATAAATTTTGATTAAAGTACAGGACTTGAAGTTATATTTTTCTTTAAAATTTTTATTATTAATTTTGATTTTGAATATTATAATTATAATTTTTATTTTTAAAAAAGATGAACTATTATAATTGAAAATTTTAATTTTTAAAATTTTAAAAAAATAAAAATGATAAAAATGGGATAACCGGCTAATGGGTTTGAGTTCATATGGCTGAGTACAAGTGGGCTAGGCCCATATGAAATTTTTTTATAATTTTTATAAAATGACTATGCAGATTAATTGTGCATATTTAATATTAATTTTTTGTAATTTCTATGAATTTAGTTCTGCAAATACAATATTGAAAATGAAGATAATATTCTAACACGCTCCTTTCAGAAAATATTTTTTAAAAATAATTGAGTTAAAAGTTTTAAATCTGCATTGATCTGAGTATATCTAAATAATTAATTTATAAAAATTATAAAATATTAAATATTAAGTTTGGACCGCTTATATTAACTATGCACTTTCAATCAATTTAACAAACAGTAAATAAAATGTTTTAATTTAAATTATCAAAATTAAATTTAGACAGTATAAATTTAGAATTCCCTTGGAATTGTAGTTTTTGGGTTCCTTACTGTGATTTGCTTTGATTATTTTTTGTTGTTGTCCTTTTACATTTAAAATAAATTTGGGATATTTGGTCATGATGTTGGATTGGAACTTGGAAGAACCAGGTAGCTACAAACTATGAGTCTACCGAGGTCACCAGGAACCTGGAAGGACGATAGATAGTTTGAAAACTGAATTTTTTTAATTTAATTTTGGACATGTGAAGAGTTATAAAGATTGTTGGTGAAAAAATGTTATAGAGATTTAATAAAAAAATTGCATGATATTTGGTTCCAACCACCAATCATAAAAAATAATTTATTATTTATTAGTGGGAAAATAAAATTATCAGTCTCTGTAATTTCATTGAATTTTTCTTTTAGTCTCTGTAGTTTTTTCAATCTTTTTATTCCCTATCCTTTTAAAAAGATTGGGTAATGTTTGTTTTTTATATTTCCTATAATTTCAATTTTTTACTGTTTTTAGTCCCTAGGACTAAAATCATTGGAAAAAGCTATAAGTGCTAAAACCAAAACCCGATAAAATTATAGGAGCCAATGATTGTGTTTTTCCTTTATTATTTGAGATATTCAAGGTTTTAACTTTTGTCGTATCTTATTAGGAAAACATAACTCTTAGTCTCTATAATTTTTTTAAAAGTAAGTGACTAACATTGTAGGTAGAAAATATTAGAGAGACCTGGAACTTTGAAAGAAAAGTACTAGGGGCTAATACCAAAATGTGATAAAACTATGAGAACTAATAATTATGTTTTTGTTATATATGTATATTCTTAAAAGTGATTTATTAATATTTGGTTATTTTATAATTTTACGAGATTTTTAAAAAAGGGGAATGACAGTACTAAAAATTAAAAGATAGACTGTTCATTATTCAAACATTTTTAAAAAGGGAGAATGACAGTTAAGTCTATAATTTTTTTTTTGAAAAAATAAGTTACAAATATTTATTCAAATAATATAAAATTTAGAAATTTCAATTACAAATAAGATATTTAAATTCTAAATGAAACTCTCAATATGCAATTAAAATTTCTATTTGTAATTGTCTGAATCAATTTTTACAACTCATTAATTTTTTAAAAAATTTGTCGGAGATCTAACAATAATTAATTTCTTTTTTTAAAACTTTATTGTCATTCTCCGTTCTTTTTCTTAAATACATGTGACGTGGTGTGTTATGAGCCTACATATTATTTAAACTTATAAGATTTTGGAACACTGAGAGATTTTGAGAAAAGAGACACTAAGAGGATTTGCTTCCGATCTTTCATCTACTAGATCTCATTAGTTTGTCAATTCTCACAAAATTTCATTTATTTCCAGTACCTAAGCCCTTTTTTTTTGTTGGAGATCTAAAAATTGGATTTTTAGTTTCTTTTTTAAATGTCTTTGTTAATGCGAGAGCATTAATATTCTTTTTTTTAATCAAATTTCTTTTTTATATAAATGGCCAGTGTTATAGAAAAAATAAGTAAATATGTACAACTAGAAGCATTCATCACACAGATAAATAGATTAATTATCCTTGGGAAGTATCGGTATAGACCCAGTTAGGATATTGGAAAGAGGTACTGTTGATGAAACCTCCAAGCTTCAATGATCCTGATTTCATTATTGGAGAATAAAAGCTAATCAGTAGCTATAAAGAAAGATTGAATTTTTTTGGAAAATGTTTTATCATGATAAAATTTTGAGCACCCTTCTACATTTTTATGTTACTTTTGTTTTCTAATTTATGAAGGACGTGAGTTCTTATGGTGATGTCTACTTCAACTAATTGGTTTAAAGTGATGACTATAGGTCATTGTGGGGCAGTGCTGTTGAAACACTTCATTTACCTCCTCTTCTCGTTTGCAAGAGGCAACCACTTTTAAAGTCTCCCAGATCAATCCTACGTTAAAGAGGTAAGGGAGCATATACATGTTCGTTCAAATTAAAGATTGTTAATATCCGTTGATTTGCTATATCTTTTTCAATTTTTAATCCAGTGTATTATTCTTGTTCAACAGCATTCAGATGGATCCTGCTACTTGTTTTACTGAAAAGCTTCTAGATTATGCAATAAAAGCTGTGGGACGGCAACTTGGGTATATGATTTTCTACCGCAACAATATTTCTGAGCTAAGGAAACAAATAAATAATCTCAATGAAAAACAAGAAGCTGTGCAACATTCAATCGACGAGGATAGAAGAAGCGGTGCAAGAATTGAAACGCAAGTTGAAAATTGGATGAGTGGAGTGGATGAGATAAAAACACTAGCAGAGCAGTTCTTTGATGAAGAAAGCCAATCGCAAACTAGATGTAGCAGAACTTCATGCCCAAATCTATGCTCATGTTATCAGCTGCGTAGAAGAGCAAAGAAAATGGCACTGGAAGTTGAAAAACTTGCAAAGAAACAATTCGACAGGGTTTCATATTTTCCTTCTCCAAAATTCACGCACTCAATAGATGACAAAATGAGTGAAGGGCTTGATTCAAGGCTGCTAATTGTAGATCAAATTATGGAGGCTTTGCGGAATCCGAGTGTTAATATGATCGGATTGTGCGGGCTTGGTGGCATTGGCAAGACCACAATAGCTAAAGAAGTAGCAAAGAAGGTGGAGAATGAAAAGATATTTGGAAAGGTGATCATGGCAACTGTTTCTAAAGATATGAATATTGTAAACATTCAAAGTCAGATTGCTGAGATGTTGGGTATGCAACTCAATCAAAATACTATAGATGTAAGATCTTCTCGTCTGCATGAGAGCTTGAAGCATGCGAAGAATATGCTCCTAATATTGGATGATCTTTGGGAGGAACTTGATTTGGGCAAAGTAGGAATTCCCTTTACTAGGGATGAAAATAATAACAAAAAGATTGAAGGTTGTAAACTTCTACTAACTTCAAGAGATGAAACACTACTTTTAGACTTAATGAAATGTGAAAAGATCATCAGTGTGGATGTTATGCCAGAGGATGAAGCACATGAGTTGTTCAAGAGGATTGCTGAAATTTCTATTGAATCAAGCAATCCTGATTTGATGTCTATAGCCGTTGAGATTGTTCGAATGTGTAGAGGCTTGCCGCTAGCAATTGTTTCAGCTGCAAAAGTGCTGAGGAAAAAAGATTTGGATGTATGGGAAAATGCCCTTGCACGATTGAGAAATCCTTTACGGAGAAACTTAACAGGAATTAGAGAGATCGATTCCGTTTTAAAACTAAGCTATGATGATTTGAGCTCAGAGAACAAAAGTATTTTCTTGCTTGCTGCCATGTTGTCTCATGACCCCTTAATTAAAGACTTGCTCATGTACTCCATGGGGTTAGATTTTCTCGGACACGTCGAGAACATGGAAAATGCTCAAGTTGGAATATTTGCTGTTGTAAGCAGGCTAAAATCTTTGAATTTATTACTTGATAGCTTTTCCAGTCATCATTTTACAATGCATGACGTTGTTCGGGATTTTGCCCTATCAGTTGCATTTAATGATCTAAATGCATTCATTGTGAGAGACACAAGGTTAAATGCATGGCCAGAAGAAACAGTGCTAGAAGGCTATAGGGGAATATCCTTGGAAAAAAGTGACATTGGTGATCTTCCAGAGGAGTTACTTGCTCCAAGGTTAAAATTCTTCTTATTAAATAGTAAAAGCTGTGATTTGGCCATATCAGATACCTTCTTCAAATCTACAAAAGAACTTAAACTATTGAGTTTTAACAATGTGTGCTTTTCATCATTGTCATTTCTTAATTCTCTAAAAAAGCTCAAAACCTTGTGCCTCCACTCTTGTCTGTTGGAAGACATGACTCAGGTTGGAAGCTTGAAACAGTTAACAATCTTGAGTCTTGCTTACTCTGAAATTGAACAGCTACCATTTGAATTGGCGATGTTGACTTCATTACAAATGCTAAATCTAGCCCATTGCTCCGAACTCAAAGTGATTCCACCAAAACTCCTATCTAGCTGGAAAAAATTGGAGGTTCTGAGCATGGAAGAAAGCTTTAAGCAGTGGGAAGCCAAAGGATCTAGTGAAGGTAATGAAAATGCAAGTCTTGTTGAGTTAAAGGACTTGCCAATCTCTTCTCTAGATATTCATATTCCTGATCCCTCTATTTTGCCAGAGAACTTGTTCTTAGATATGAAATTGAAGAGATACAAAATAATCATTGGAGACGATTGGGGTTGGTATTGCAATTATGAAACTTCAAGGACGTTGAAACTTGAGCTAAATAGAAATATCCATTTAAAGCATGGGGTTTGGAAGTTATTAGAAAGAGTTGAATATTTGCACTTGCGTGGATCCAACGGACTAGAAAATGTTCTTCACAATAGATGTCCATGTTTAAGGCATCTTCGGATTGAAAGAAATTGCGATGTTGAATATATTGTTTTGAGCTCCACCCATCAAGAAGTTGCCCTTCCAATGCTTGAAACTTTGATCCTTGAAAAGTTGAGTGTGCTGAAGAAGTTATGTCAAGGACCAATTGCTCCCGCCTTCCGAAACCTGAAAGTAATCAAAGTGGAAGGTTGTCGACAGTTGAAGTGGATTTTCTCAGCTTCAATGATTGGATCATTTTCGCAGCTTGTTGAGATTAAAATTAAAGATTGTGACTCCTTGAAAGAGGTTGTGACATCTGCGATTGAAGGCTCATCTGATCAGCCAGAATTTGCTAATGACGTCATTGTTTTCAAGAAGTTACGCACTTTGAAGATGGTTGGATTGCCAGCTCTTATAGATTTCTGCATCAAGGGTAGAGCAGCAAACAACCATTGTAATAAAACTTCGAAATCACTCTTCAACGATGAGGTATGTTTGGATTATTTTATTCTTAGTTTTTCACTAGAATTACTTTGCTATATGGCTTTTGTGGCACTTTGCAGGTTTTCATTTACTTTTAAATTACTTAAAATAAGCCAATAAAAGAGAGAAACTAACTGTAAGTATTAAAAAAAAAATGAAACATCAAATTATTTGTCTTGAATCCTAAAAAAAAAGGCTTGAATTCAATGTTTGGGAGTTTATGTTTTTATGATTTTTTTTAATGAAACGGGCAATGTATAATGCAAGCTAATAAGAAGAAATATCAAAACAAACCAGAAGACCGACAACTTAAAATCTTTGAAGAAAACAAAGAAAGATTATTTTTTGAATATAAAGTTGGCATAGCATTCACATGAAATTTTATATTCGTTTTTAGATTTATATTTTGTTTTATTTTAAATCACTTTTCATCAAGAAGATATGTTTATTTTGATTTATTTTTACTTGTTTTAACTACTTAAAAACTTGAGACTTATCTTGGAAAATAATTTTCACTAGCATTACTTTATTATTAGGCTATTATAGCATTTTGCAGTTTTTTGATTTTTTTTAATTACTATTTTTCTTATGAACTTTATATTTTACTTCCCCTCTACAATGTTGTAGCTCTATAAATTTCAATTTTACACATCGTCGCAAACTGATGGATTATAAAGTTTTTAAAACTAATTTAACGATGCCTTTCCAACTACTCAAGACTCCTATATTTTTAGATCTAAGGGAAGAAAATGACTCTGTTATCGTGTAGAGAGTGTTGAAAGTAGTTCATTAGTATATGTGAATTAAGAAAAGAAAACTTAAATTAATTAGAATGTATTAGTTGCTTGTTCAATTTTTCTTTTGAAGACAATTCAATGCTGCCATTTTATTGGTTTTATGTTTGAATTTAAGCTTTGACCAATTTCTTGAAAAATATGAGAGTAGATATGAAATCTTATTTGGACATGTAAACAATCTTGCTCAAAAAATAAGCCTATAGATCAAAAGTGAATTTGTTTTAATAATCATATTTTCTTTAAACAGGTGTTATTTCCGATGTTGGAGCTACTGGAACTGTCAAATTTAGACAATTTGACTTCATCTATATGGAATGATCAGCTTTTCGACAGCTCGTTTGGTAACTTGAAAACACTGGATGTGGGGAGCTGTGGCTTTGTGGTATTAGTGCCCTTCCAAGTTCGAAGATCCTTATATAGTTTGGAAGAAGTAGTGGTGACAAAGTGTGAGAAGTTGGAGGTGGTGTTTGACTTAGAAGATTTGAATGATGGTAAGGAGAGACAGTCATCTTCAATAGTCGTGCCGTTGAAGAAGTTAAGCTTACGAAGTTTGCCAAAACTGAAGATCGTGTGGGGCAATCACCATAGAGAAAATGTTTCCTTCCAAAATCTAAGCCAGATTGATTCAAAATATCTTTTGCTCTGCTGCAATAAGGTACCTTTCTAATGAGCTCTATTAAAAAAAATAACGAAACGCCGAATTTACTATCCAAAAAAAAATTTGAAATCACTTTTCAACAGTAGGGTATGTTTAATTTTTTTTCATTTTAAAAAATTTCGAAATTAATTATTGGCAAAATTAGTTTTCACTTGAATGACGTTGCTATGTGGCTGTCGTGGCATTGGGCAGGTTTTCTTTCTTTTTTTAAATTACCTAATATGAGCTAATAAAAGAGAGAAACTAACTGTTAGCGTTAAAATAAATGAGGCAAACTACAATGCATTTTTTTGCATTCTAAAAAAAAAAAGAAAAAAGAGCCATGAATTTTATTATTTGAAGTTTTTCATTTTTCATTTCTTTTTACATGAAACGGGTAATGTATTTGGTTCGCATACTGAGTTTGTGATAGAGCAACAATAAGGATTGCAATAAAACTTGGGACCAAAACGCTATGTTTGGATTGTCTTATTCTTACCTTTTCTTGTTTTAACTTCCTAATTTTTGAAATTCATTTTTCACTAGAATTATTTTGCTACGGGGCTTTTGTGGCACTTTGCGTGTTTTCTTTTATTTTCTAAATTACTTACAATAAGCTAATGAAAGAGAGAAAATAACTGTAAGCATCAAGTTAAAAAAAATTAAACATCAAATTATTTCTTTTAATCAAATTTCTTTAAATAGGTGTTATTTCCTATGTTGGAGTTATTTGCACTGTCAAATTTAAACAATTTGATTTCATTTATATAGGATTATCGATTTTCATACAACTTGTTTAGTAACTTGAAAGGGCTAGTTGTGGATGGGTGTGTCTTTGTAATATTAGTGCCCTTCCAAGTTCTAAGTTCCTTACACAGTTTGGAAGAACTACAAGTTAAAGACTGTAAGGAGTTGGAAGTGGTGTTTGATTTAGAAGATTTGAATGATTATAAAGAGAGACAATCATCTTTAGTGGTTGCGCCATTGCAGAAGTTAAGACTATTGAGTTTGCCAAAACTGAAGAATGTGTGGAGCAATGACCACCGAGGAAATGTCTCCTTCCAAAGTTTAAGGCAGATAAAAGTTAAAAATTGTGACAGCTTGACGAGTGTGTTTCCTGCATCTATAGCCAAAGGCATGCTTCATTGTCTTGAGCAACTTGAAGTACGAAATTGTGCTGATATGGAAGTAATTGTTGCAAAGGATAAAGTTTCAGAATCTCTTGATGCTGCATTTGTGTGTCCTAGGCTGACTTCCCTTGAGCTTTTTGGGCTTCCAAATTTGAGGAACTTCTATGCACAAAGATACAAATTAGAACGGCGCCACCTTGACGGTTGTGGTGACACAGAGATATTTGAAAAGGAGGTCTCAAGTTCATCAAAAATACATGGGAAAGAGAGTACAATAGACTCAACATATCCTCTGCTCTCCTGCAACAAGGTACCTTTCCAATGAGCTGTAATAAAAGAACAAAAAACTAACTTTAAGCATTAAAAAAATAATGAAACACCGAATTTAGTACCAAATAAAAAACTTTGAATTCACTTTTGAACAATAAGTTATGTTTAATTTTTTTTTATTTTCTTTTTTTTAACTTCCTAAGAAGTTCAAAATTAATTGTCGGCAAAATCCTCTTTCACAAGAATGGTATTGCTATGTGGCTATCGTGGCATTGTGCAGGTTTTCTTTGTTTTCTTTTTAAATTACTTAATATAAGCTAATACAAGAGAGAAATTAACTGTTAGCGTTAAAATAAAAAATGGAAACTACAAATTATTTGCTTTGCATTCTGAAAAAAAACGAGCCATGATTTTGATATGAAGTTTTGCTTTTTTGTTCTATATTTTTTTTAATATGAAACGGGTATTGCTTGGTTTGCACTCTAACTTTGTGACAGAGGAACAAATAAGGATTGCATTAAAATTTTAGAATCACTTTTCAACCAAACGGAATGTTGGGATTATTTTATTTTTACCTTTTCTTGTTTTAACTTCCTAATTTGTGAAATTCATTTTACACTAGAATTATTTTGCTATGGGGCTTTTGTGGCACTTTGCGTGTTTTCTTTTGTTTTCTCAATTACTCAGAATAAGCATCCAATTGAAAAAAGAAATTAAGCATCAAATTATTAAAATTAAAAACTAAAAAAAAAGATTATTTTTTGAATATGATGTAGGCATAGCATTCACTTGAAATTTTATATTCGCTTTTCATATTTGTGTTTTGTTCTTAAATTTTTGAATCACTTTTCGTCAAAAAGATCTGTTTATATTATTTTGTTCTTATGTTTCCTTGTTTCAGCAATTTAAAAAGTTGAGACTTATCTTTGAAAATCACTTTTACTAGCAGCACTTTCCGATTAGGCTATGATGGAATTTTGCAGTTTTGTTTTAATTTTAGTTACTTTTTAATTATGAACTCTATATTTTACTTCTCCGCAACAATGTTGTGGCTCTAAAAATTTCAATTTTACATATCGCCACAAACTGATGGATTATAATTTGTTTCAAAATTAATTTAACTATGCCTTTCAGCTATGCTCAATGCACGTAAATTTGCAGATCTAAGGGAGGAAAATGACTGATATCTTAAGAGGTAGCGTTGAAAGTAGTTGATTACTATAGGTGAATTAAAAAAGAAAAATTAATTAAGAATGTATTAGTTACTTGTTCGGTTTTCCATTTAAAGACATTTTTTATGCTGCAATTTTATCATTACTTTATTGGCGTGATGTTTGAATTTAAACTTTTGCCAATTTGTTGAAAAATATGATAGTAGATCTAAAATCTTTGGTTAAACATGCAAGCAATCTTTCATTAAAAGTAAGCCAACAGATCAAAAGTAAATTTCTTTTAATCATATTTCTTTAAATAGGTGTTATTTCCTATGTTGAAGTTATTGGCACTGTCAAATTTAAACAATTTGATTTCATGTATACAGGATGATCGATTTTCATACAACTTGTTTAGTAACTTGAAAAAGCTAGTTGTGGATGGTTGTGGCTCTGTCATATTAGTGCCCTTCCAAGTTCTAAGATCCTTACACAGTTTGGAAGAACTAACAGTGAATAAGTGTGAGGAGTTGGAGGTGGTGTTTGATTTAGAGGACTTGAATGACTGTAAAGAGAGACAGTTATCATCAGTGGTTTTGCCCTTGAAGAAGTTAAGCTTATGGAGTTTGCCAAAATTGAAGAATGTGTGGAGCAATCACCACCATGAAAATGTCTGGTTCCAATGTCTAACCCAGATACATGTTTCTCTTTGTGACAGCCTGACGAGTGTGTTTCCTGCATCTATAGCCAAAGGCATGCTTCATTGTCTTGAGCAACTTGAAGTACGAAATTGTGCTGATATGGAAGTAATTGTTGCAAAGGATCAATTTTTAGAATCTCTCGAGGCTTCATTTGCGTGTCCTAGGCTGACTTCCCTTGAGCTTTTTGGCCTTCCAAATTTGAGGAACTTTTATGCACAGAGACACAAATTAGAATGGCGCCACCTTGACGGTTGTGGTGAAACAGAGATATTTGAAAAGGAGGTGTCAATAAACTCAAAATATCCTCTGCTCTCCTGCAACAAGGTACTTTTCCAATGAGCTGTAATAAAAGAACAAAAAACTAACTTTAAGCATTAAAAAAATAATGAAACACCGTATTTAGTACGAAATAAACTTTGAATTCACTTTTGAACAATAAGTTATGTTTAATTTTTTTTTATTTTTTTCTTTTTCTTGTTTTAAGTTCCTAAGAAGTTCAAAATTGATTGTTGGCAAAATCTGCTTTCACAAGAATGACATTGCTATGTGGCTATCGTGGCATTGTGCAGGTTTTCTTTGTTTTCTTTTTAAATTACTTAAAATGAAAACTACAAATTATTTGTTTGCATTCTGAGAAAAACGAGCCATGATTTTGATATGAAGTTTTTCTTTTTCTTCTATATTTTTTTTATATGAAACGGGTATTGCTTGTTTTGCACGCTAACTTTGTGACAGAGGAACAAATAAGGATTGCATTAAAACTTTAGAATCACTTTTCAACCAAACAGTATGTTGGGATTATTTTATTTTTACCTTTTCTTGTTTTAGCTTCCTAATTTGTGAAATTCATTTTACACTAGAATTATTTTGCTATGGGGCTTTTGTGGCACTTTGCGTGTTTTCTTTTGTTTTCTAAATTACTCAGAATAAGCATCAAATTGAAAAAAGAAATTAAACATCAAATTATTAAAATTAAACATCAAATTATTTGTTTTGCATTCAAAATAAAAAAGCTTGAATTCAACGTTCTGAAGTTTTTCTTTTCTTTTTATGGATGAAACAAGCAATGTGTAATGCAAGCTAATGTAGGAGAAAAGAAAAACTTTCTAGAAGTCTGAGAAGTTAAAAAGCTTAGACTCAAAATTAAAAAAAAAAACTAAAGAGGTTATATTTTGAATAAAAAGTAGGCATAGCATTCACTTGAATTTTTATATTTGCTTTTCATATTTGTATTTTGTTTTTAAATTTTGAATCACTTTTTGTCAAAAAGATCTGTTTAAATTATTTTGTTCTTATATTTCCTTGTTTCAGCAATTTAAAAACTTGAGACTTATCTTTGAAAATCACTTTTACTAGCATCAGTTTCCGATTAGGCTATGATGGAATTTTGCAGTTTTTTTTAATTTTAATTACTTTTTAATTATTAACTTTATATTTTACTTCCTCGCAACAATGTTGTGGCTCTAAAAATTTCAATTTTACATATCGCCACAAGCAGATGGATTATAATTTGTTTCAAAATTTTAACTTTGCCTTTTCAACTATGCTCAATGCACGTGAATTTGCATATTTAAGGGAGGAAAATGATTGTGTTATCTTAAGAGCTAGGGTTGAAAGTAGTTGATTACTATAGGTGAATTAAAAAAGAAAACTTAATTAAGAATGTATTAGTTGTTGTTCAATTTTTCATTTAAAGACATTTTTTATGCTGCAAATTTATCATTATTTTATTGGCGTTATGTTTGAATTTAAACTTTTATCAATTTGTTGAAAAATATGATAGTAGATCTGAAATCTTTGGTCAGACATGCAAGCAATCTTTCATTAAAAGTAAGCCAACAGATCAAAAGTGAATTTCTTTTAATCAAATTTCTTTAAATAGGTGTTATTTCCTATGTTGGAGTTATTGGCACTGTCAAATTTAAACAATTTGATTTCATTTATATAGGATGATCGATTTTCAAACAACTTGTTTAGTAACTTGAAAAAGCTAGTTGTGGATGGGTGTGGCTTTGTGATATTAGTGCCCTTCCAAGTTCTAAGATCCTTACACAGTTTGGAAGAACTAACAGTGAATAAGTGTGAGGAGTTGGAGGTGGTGTTTGATTTAGAGGACTTGAATGACTGTAAAGAGAGACCATCATCTTCAGTGGTTGCGCCATTGAAGAAGTTAAGACTATCAAGTTTGCCAAAACTGAAGAATGTATGGAGCAATCACCACCAAGGAAATGTCTCCTTCCAAAGTCTAAGGCGGATAGAAGTTGATAATTATGACAGCCTGACGAGTGTGTTTCCTGCATCTATAGCCAAAGGCATGCTTCATTGTCTTGAGCAACTTGAAGTATGAAATTGTGCTGATATGGAAGTAATTGTTGCGACGGATCAAGTTTCAGAATCTCTTGATGCTGCATTTATGTGTCCTAGGCTGACTTGCCTTGACCTTTCTTACCTTCCAAATTTGAGAAACTTCTATGCACAAGGGCAGAAATTAGAATGGCCCTACCTTCATCAATTAGATATTGACGGTTGTGGTGAAATAGAGATACTTGAAAAGAAGGTCTCAAGTTCATCAGAAATACATGGGGAAGAGAGTGCAATAGACTCAAAATATCCTCTGCTCTCCTGCAACAAGGTAACTTTTTATTAAGCTGTAATAAAAGAATAAAAAAACTAATTTTAAGCGTTAAAAAATAATGAAACACCGGATTTACTACCTAAGAAAAAACTTTGAAATCACTTTTGAACAATAAACTTGTTTTTTATTTTTACTTTTTCTTGTTTTAACTTCCGAAAAAATTGAAAATTAATTGTCAGCAAAATTCGTGTTCACAAGTATGACATTGCTACGTGGCAATCCTGGCATTGTGCAGGTTTTGTTTTCAAATTACTTAATATAAGCTAATAAAGGAGAGAAATTAACTGTTAACGTTAAAATAAAAAATGCAAACTACAAATTATTTGTTTTGCATTCTGAAAAAAAACGAGTCATGATTTTTATTTGATGTTTTTTTTCTTCTTCTATATATATATATTTTTTATATATGAAACGGGCAGTGCTTGTTTTCCACACTAACTTTGTGATAGAGCAACAAATACGGATTGCATTAAAACTTTGGAATCACTTTTCAACCGAATGGTATGTTTGGGTTATTTTATTCTTGCGTTTTCATTTTTTAACTCCCTAATTTGTGAAATTCATTTTTCACTGGAATTAATTTGCTATGAGGCTTTTGTGGCACTTCGTGTGTTTTCTTTTATTTTCTAAATTACTTAAAATAAGCTAATGAAAGAGAGAAAATAACTGTAAGCATCAAATTGAAAAAAATTAAACATCAAATTATTTGTTTTGCATTCAAAATAAAAAAGCTTGAATTAAACGTTTCGAAGTATTTTTTTCGTTTTCTTTTCTTTTTTACGGATGAAACAAGCAATGTATAATGCAAGTTAATGTAGGAGAAAAGAAAAACTCTCTAGAAATCTGAGAAGTAGGCATAGCATTCATCTGAAATTTTATATTCGCTTTTCATATTTGTGTTTTGTTCTTAAATTCTTGAATCACTTTTCATAAAAACATTCTGTTTAAATTATTTTGTTCTTATATTTCCTTGTTTCAACAATTTAAAAATTTGAGACTTATCTTTGAAAATCATTTTTACTAGCATTACTTTACTATTAGGCTATTATGAACTTTATATTTTACTTCCCCGCAACAATGTTGTAGCTCTATAAATTACAATTTTACTTATGGCCACAATTGATGGATTATAATTTTTTTAAAATTTAATTTAACTATGCATTTTAAACTTAAACTATACTCAATACACGTAAATTTGTAGATTTAAGGGAAGGAAATGATTGTGTTATCTTAAGAGATAGTGTTGAAAGTAGTTGATTACTATATGTGAATTGAAAAGAAAAAAGAAAACTTAATTAAGAATGTATTAGTTACTTGTTCGATTTTCCATGTAAAGACATTTTTTATGCTGCAATTTTATCATTACTTTATTGGCGTTATGTTTGAATTTAAACTTTTACCAATTTGTTGAAAAATATGATAGTAGATCTGAAATCTTTGGTTAGACATGGAAGCAATCTTTCACTAAAAGTAAGCCAACAGATCAAAAGTGAATTTCTTTTAATCATATTTCTTTAAATAGGTGTAATTTCCTATGTTGGAGTTATTGGCACTGTCAAATTTGAACAATTTGATTTCATTTATACAGGATGATCGAGTTTCATACAACTTGTTTAGTAACTTTAAAAAGCTAGTTGTGTATGGGTGTGGCTTTGTGATATTAGTGCCCTTCCAAGTTCTAAGATCCTTACACAGTTTGGAAGAACTAACAGTGAATAAGTGTGAGGAGTTGGAGGTGGTGTTTGATTTAGAAGACTTGAATGACTGTAAAGAGAGACAGTCATCATCGGTGGTTTTGCCCTTGAAGAAGTTATGGTTATGGAGTTTGCCAAAATTGAAGAATGTGTGGAGTAATCACCACGGTGAAAATGTCTGCTTCCAAAGTCTAAGCCAGATACATGTTTCTCTTTGTGATAGCCTGACGAGTGTGTTTCCTGCATCTATAGCCAAAGGCATGCTTCATTGTCTTGAGCAACTTGAAGTACGAAAGTGTGCTGATATGGAAGTAATTGTTGCAACGGATCAAGTTTCAGAATCTCTTGATGCTGCATTTGTGTGTCCTAGGCTGACTTCCCTTAAGCTTTTTGGCCTTCCAAATTTGAGGAACTTCTATGCACAGACACAAAAATTAGAACCGCGCCACCTTGTCAGTTGTGGTGAAACAGAGATATTTGAAAAGGAGGTCTCATGTTCAGCAGAAATACATGGGGAAGAGAGTACAATAGACTCAAAATATCCTCTGCTCTCCTGCAACAAGGTACCTTTCTAATGAGCTGTAATAAAAGAACAAAAAACTAACTTTAAGCATTAATAAAATAATGAAACACTGGATTTACTTCCTAAGAAAAAACTTTGAAATCACTTTTGAACAATAAGTTATGTTTAATGTTTTTTTATTTTTTATTTTTCTTGTTTTAACTTCCTAAGAAGTTCAAAATTAATTGTTGGCAAAACCCGCTTTCACAAGAATGACATTGCCATGAGGCTCTCGTGGCATTGTGCTGGTTTTCTTTTTAAATTTCTTAATATAAGCTAATAAAAGAGATAAATTAACTGTTAGCGTTAAAATAAAAAATGGAAACTACAAATTATTTGTTTTGCATTCTGAAAAAAATGAGCCATGATTTTGATATGAAGTTTTTCCTTTTGTTCTATTTTTTTTTTATGAAACGGGTATTGCTTGTTTTGCACGCTAACTTTGTGACAGAGGAACGAATAAGGATTGCATTAAAACTTTAGAATCACTTTTCAACCAAACGGCATGTTGGGATTATTTTATTTTTAGCTTTTCTTGTTTTAACTTCCTAATTTGTGAAATTCATTTTACACTAGAATTATGTTGCTATTGGGGCTTTTGTGGCACTTTGAGTGTTTTCTTTTATTTTCTAAATTACTCAGAATAAGCATCAAATTGAAAAAAAAAAATTAAACATCAAATTATTTGTTTTGCATTCAAAATAAAAAGGCTTGAATTCAACGTTCTGAAGTTTTTCTTTTCCTTTTTTCTTTTCTTTTCATGGATGAAACAAGCAATGTATAATGCAAGTTAATGTAGGAGAAAAGAAAAACTCTCTAGAAATCTGAGAAGTTAAAAAGCCTAGACTAAAAGCTTCAAGAAAAATAAAGTTTATTTTTTGAATATGAAGTAGGCATAGCATTCATTTGAAATTTTATACTAGCTTTTCATATTTGTGTTTTGTTCTTAAATTCTTGAATCACTTTTCATAAAAACATTCTGTTTAAATTATTTTGTTCTTATATTTCCTTGTTTCAACAATCTAAAATTTTGAGATTTATCTTCAAAAATCATTTTTACTAGCATTACTTTACTATTAGGCTATGATGGAATAAAGAGGTTATTTTTTGAATAAAACGTAGGCATAGCATTCTCTTGAATTTTTATTTTTTCTTTTCATATTTGTATTTTGTTCTTAAATTTTTGAATCACTTTTCGTCAAAAGGATCTGTTTATATTATTTTGTTATTATATTTCCTTGTTTCAGCAATTTAAAAAGTCGAGACTTATCTTCAAAAATCACTTTTACTAGCATCACTTTCCGATTAGGCTATGATGGAATTTTGCAGTTTTTTTTAATTCTAATTACTTTTAATTATGAACTTTATATTTTACTTCTCCGCAACAGTGTTGTAGCTCTAAAAATTTCAATTTTACATATCACCACAAACTGATGGATTATAATTTGTTTCAAAATTAATTTAACTATGCCTTTTTAGCTATGCTCAATGCACGTGAATTTGCAGATCTAAGGGAAGAAAATGATTGTGTTATCTTGAGAGATAGTGTTGAAAGTAGTTGATTACTATAGGTGAATTATAAAAGAAGACTTAATTAAGAATGTATTAGTTACTTGTTCGATTTTCCATTTAAAGACATTTTTTATGCTGCAATTTTATCATTACTTTATTGGCGTTATGTTTGAATTTAAACTTTTACCGATTTGTTGAAAAATATGATAGTAGATCTGAAATGTTTGGTTAGACATGCATGCAATCTCTCATTAAAAGTAAGCCAACAGATCAAAAGTGAATTTCTTTTAATCAACTTTCTTTTAATAGGTGTTATTTCCTATGTTGGAGTTATTGGCACTGTCAAATTTAAACAATTTGATTTCATTTATATAGGATGATCGATTTTCAAACAACTTGTTTAGTAACTTGAAAAAGCTAGTTGTGGATGGGTGTGGCTTTGTGATATTAGTGCCCTTCCAAGTTCTAAGATCCTTACACAGTTTGGAAAAACTACAAGTTAAGACTGTAAGGAGTTGGAAGTGGTGTTTGATTTAGAAGATTTGAATGATTATAAAGAGAGACCATCATCTTCAGTGGTTGCGACATTGAAGAAGTTAAGACTATCGAGTTTGCCAAAACTGAAGAATGTATGGAGCAATCACCACCGAGGAAATGTCTCCTTCCAAAGTCTAAGGCGGATAGAAGTTGATAATTGTGACAGCCTGACGAGTGTGTTTCCTGCATCTATAGCCAAAGGCATGCTTCATTGTCTTGAGCAACTTGAAGTACGAAATTGTGCTGATATGGAAGTAATTGTTGCGACGGATCAAGTTTCAGAATCTCTTGATGCTGCATTTATGTGTCCTAGGCTGACTTGCCTTGACCTTTCTTACCTTCCAAATTTGAGAAACTTCTATGCACAAGGGCACAAATTAGAATGGCCCCACCTTCATCAATTAGATATTGACGGTTGTGGTGAAATAGAGATACTTGAAAAGAAGGTCTCAAGTTCATCAGAAATACATGGGGAAGAGAGTGCAATAGACTCAAAATATCCTCTGCTCTCCTGCAACAAGGTAACTTTTTATTAAGCTGTAATAAAAGAATAAAAAACTAATTTTAAGCGTTAAAAAAATAATGAAACACCGGATTTACTACCTAAGAAAAAACTTTGAAATCACTTTTGAACAATAAACTTGTTTTTTATTTTTACTTTTTCTTGTTTTAACTTCCTAAAAAATTGAAAATTAATTGTCAGCAAAATTCGTGTTCACAAGTATGACATTGCTACGTGGCAATCCTGGCATTGTGCAGGTTTTGTTTTCAAATTACTTAATATAAGCTAATAAAGGAGAGAAATTAACTGTTAACGTTAAAATAAAAAATGCAAACTACAAATTATTTGTTTTGCATTCTGAAAAAAAACGAGTCATGATTTTATTTGATGTTTTTCTTCTTCTTCTATATATATATTTTTTTATATATGAAACGGGCAGTGCTTGTTTTCCACACTAACTTTGTGATAGAGCAACAAATACGGATTGCATTAAAACTTTGGAATCACTTTTCAACCGAATGGTATGTTTGGGTTATTTTATTCTTGCGTTTTCATTTTTTAACTCCCTAATTTGTGAAATTCATTTTTCACTGAATTAATTTGCTATGAGGCTTTTGTGGCACTTCGTGTTTTCTTTTATTTTCTAAATTACTTAGAAATAAGCATTCAAATTATTTGTTTTGCATTCAAAATAAAAAAGCTTGAATTAAACTTTTCGAAGGTTTTGTTTTGTTTTGTTTTCTTTTTTACGGATGAAACAAGCAATGTATAATGCAAGTTAATGTAGGAGAAAAGAAAAACTCTCTAGAAGTCTGAGATGTTAAAAAGCCTAGACTAAAAACTTGAAAAAAAAATAAAGTTTATTTTTTAATATGAAGTAGGCATAGCATTCATTTGAAATTTTATATTCACTTTTCATATTTGTGTTTTGTTCTTAAATTCTTGAATCACTTTTCATAAAAACATTCTGTTTAAATTATTTTGTTACCTATATTTCCTTGTTTCAACAATTTAAAAATTTGAGACTTATCTTCGAAAATCATTTTTACTAGCATTACTTTACTATTAGGCTGTTATGGAATTTTACAGTTTTTTTAATTTTTAATTATAACTTTATATTTTACTTCCCTGCAACAATGTTGTAGCTCTAAAAATTACAATTTTACTTATCGCCACAAATTGATGGATAATAATTTTTTTAAAATTAATTTAACTATGCATTTTAAACTTAAACTGTACTGAATACACGTAAATTTGTAGATTTAAGGGAAGGAAATGATGTGTTATCTTAAGAGATAGTGTTGAAAGTAGTTGACTACTATATGTGAATTAAAAAGATAAAAGAAAACTTAATTAACGAATGTATTAGTTACTGATTGATTTTCCTTTTAAAGATATTTTTTGTGCTGGAATTTTATCATTACTTTATTGGCTTGATGTTTGAATTTAAACTTTTACCAATTTGTTGAAGAATATGATAGTTGATCGAAATCTTTGTTTAGGCATGCAAGCAATCTTTCATTAAAAGTAAGCAACAGATCAAAACTGAATTTCTTTTAATTCATATTTCTTTAAATAGTTTTTATTTCCTATGTTGGAGTTATTGGCACTGTCAAATTTAAACAATTTGATTTCATTTGTACAGGATGATCGATTTTCATACAACTTGTAAAAAGAGCTAGTTGTGGATGGTTGTGGCTTGTGATATTAGTGCCTTCCAAGTTCTAAGATCCTTAACAAGTTGGAAGAACTAGAAGTGGCATGGTGTGAGAAGTTGGAGGTGGTGTTTGATTTAGAAGATTGGAATGATTGTAAAGAGAGACAGTCATCTTCAGTGGTTGCACCATTGAAGAAGTTAAGACTATGTAGGTTGCCAAAACTGAAGAACGTTGGAGCAATGACCACCAAGGAAATGTCTCCTTCCAAAGTCTAAGGCAGATACATGTTTCTTATTGTCAAAGCCTGACGAGTGTGTTTCCTGCATCTATAGCCAAAGGCATGCTTCGTCTTGAACAACTTGAAGTAGAAAATTGTGCTGATATGGAAGTAATTGTTGCAAAGGATCAAGTTTCAGAATCTCTTGATGCTACATTTCTATTTCCTAGACTGACTTCCCTTAAGCTTGATGAGCTTCCAAATTTGAGAAACTTCTATGCACAAAGACACAAATTAGAATGGCCCCACCTTCAACAGTTAGTTATTTTCGATTGTGATGAAATAGAGATATTTGAAAAGGAGGTCTCAAGTTCATCAAAAATACATGGGGAAGAGAGTGCAATAGACTCAAAATATCCTTGCGCTCTTCTGCAACAAGGTACCTTTCCAATGAGTAATAAAAGAACAAAGAACTAGCTTTAAGCATTAAAAAAATAATTAAACACGAATTTCCTACCTAAAAAAAAAACTCTTGGAAATTGATACTTTGTAGTTTGAAACATACGAATGATTCTTATGATTAGAATATTTAGTAGATTGTAGTTTAGAATTTGATGATCAGGTTTAAAAACTAAAGAGTGTAAATTGCATGATAAATTTTTTAATTAATCAATAGATTTGTAAATAATTAAATAATTTTTTTCTCTTTCTTTCAATAAGAGGAGTTCTCACTTTTGAGTCTTCACATAAAAGAGGTGCATGATGAATGTGGAGGGGGGAGGTTTTTTTTTTTGAAAATTATTATTAGCTTTAATTTTATATTTTGTTTTGAAATATAAAGGAAAAACATTGGTATCGCACAACAGAAGATTGACACTCTAGAAATTCATATTGACTTTAATTTCATCTTAATTTCAAGTTTTAAGTTAATTTAAAAATTAAAGCATATGCTTTTTTATGTATTGTGCAGGTTATTGCCAATCTGGAGTTGAGCTTATGTGGAAAAGAAGTGGAGATGATGGGAAGCGGGCAGTTTCCATCGTATCACTTCCCCAAAGTGAAAGATCTTTTTCTAATTACTAAGAAAGCAACAACTATATCGTACAGATCATTGTTGAATTGCTTCCCAAATTTAGAGCATCTTCAGCTGAGTGGTGAGTTTAAGGATCCTTTTGGAGGGCATGATGTTGCTGCACTTCGTTTTCCCTTTCAAAAACTTTCTCTGCAATATTGCCAATACGATAAGCTTGGCAATACCAATACCAAATCTCACACATCTCCGTTGGTGCGAAATGAGGTGACCACATTGCTGACACCATCAGCAGCTCGAAGCTTGGTCCATCTCACACACCTCACAATTGAATGGTGCGAGGAAATAGAGAAATAATAGCAAAGCAAGAGGGAGAGGATGACGTGGACCAAGACATATCATTTTCAATAAACTGGAGCATTTACGACTTTATGGCTTGACAAATTGAAGAGATTTTGTGGCTATAATTATACCTTCAAGTTTCCATTATTGGATGATGTCACTATAATGGATTGTCCTCAACTCTCAACATTCTGTCTTGGAGCTATACATACCCCGCGCCTTCAAAGCATTAAAGCGGGTCATCAAAACGAACATATTTGGAAGGGCGATGTTAACGAGACCATCCAATATCATTTCACTGGTTCAAGAGGTATACACAACATCTACTTTCATTCTTATTTTCCACTTTTTTAAAATTCCTCACCTCCAAAATTTAGCATTTCACAAATATTTCATATAAATATTCAAGTTTCAACATTCTATTGACACCTATAAATTATAAAGATTACATCTTATATGGCTCCACTCTAATTGCATACAAATGATGGCTGATGAATGTGGTAGGCTGCGAGTAATCCTATTATGGTTGTGATCATTCTTAGTATTCTTTCGTACATAAATTAAGGGGGCACTAAAATTATTTAAAATATTTAATTTTTATTTTAAAGAATCAAATTTATTTTAGACAGGAAATTAATGACAAAAACTACTCCCTCCAGACTACAATATAAGTCATTGTTAACTAATTTATATTTTTAAATAAAGTTGGTTAAAATCTTTATTTTTTAAAAATTTTCACATCTTTTCAATTCTGCCCTTGAGTGTAGCAAATATAACATTTAATTTATTGAAAACACTTTCATTAATTACTCAATAAAGTAAGAATGTAATTGAAAAAAGTATATAACACCTAATCCAACGTCCTAATTTTTGGACCATACAAAATTTTTAAGAAACGATTTATATTGTGGTTCAAAATGGATATAATCATTAAAAAATTTTAAAAAGATGACTAATTGATTATAAAAGATTTTATCTTCAATAAAATAAGAATTAATTTATTTATATAGTTTTTTTTTTTGCCACCTGTTGATTGATGGTCTAATTTGGCACTCACAAGTCACAAGGATGCTGAGTCATAATTGAAATATAAGAGCAAGATATGGAATGTCTTCTTTGTTTTAAAATTACAATTTTTTTACAAGTAAACTAATATGATGGTTTGGTATTGCAGGATGGCGTTATATGTAGAAGGGGAATGCTCATTTATTGGTGCAGGTTTGTAGTTTCAAGCTAGAATTTTTTTTTTTGGCTAAAGAGATCTTCTCTTAATCTACATGTCATCTTTTTTTTTTTCCCTTATGTTGTCTGATATTTTCTATCACTTAAAATTATAGTTTCTTGTTAAAATTTATTTCAACATTTCTTTTCTTGTAGTAATTTTTATAATATCAACAAAAGCTTCATATGTTAAGGGATGAAACATGCATCTCAATTTTTCTTTCCTTCAATACATTCTCTCCATTGTAGTTGAGTTGATTGAAAATAGTGAACAATTATTTATTTATTTTATACAGACTAGCTGTGGTTTAGAAAAATAACAGTTGGCACTTTTAAAAACATAAAAAGGAATGATTTTGATAATGATTCTCCCAAATTTTAAACCCAATTTTTTCACAATATATACTATACATGGATGTTGGTAGGATATAAACATAACATACTCACATCTTTTCTTCCTTGCTTGATAAATGCAGGTTATGTATGTGGTGATGTTGACCCTTGATTAAATAAGATGACCAATGTGTTATGATTGCAAGGTCTTCATTCAACAACTGCATCGTTTGCTTCATTAAGACATATTGGTATCATTGACATGTGGCTAAGATTATTATGAAAGATTGGTTTTTGATGAATGCATGGAATGATATAACAACAACGGAGATAAGTCTTTCGATTCAGATGATCTTTATTCAAAATTCTCCAAAAGTAACAAAACTTCAAGGATCCAGTTGTCCTTTAATTGCTTTTATTTTTTGCATGCATGCACCACTGGCATTTGAAACTGGTATATTTTGATCCTTGGAAAACCAGAAGTAGTTCCCTATACTTCCCCAGAGTCAAATTCAAATATCTTTGCTTTCTTCTTCTCTTGCACTTTATCCAGCAATACTAATGTTAGTTAGAATATACAAATAGTAGTATACAATTGACAATTACAAGGAAGCAAAGCAAGATTAGCCCAATCATGCAGTAGTAACACATGCTCATATGTCCCCACATTCCCTTGACAACAAAACCCCAAGTATTGTGTTCGCTTGACATTATTGAGTCGATCACATTCTGTGCTCATCATAATAAGGAGCACGGGTGCTCATCAATTTTTGGGGCTCATGTTCGTTTCATTTACAATCAATTTCTACAATCATTTTAAATTAATTTTTAGATGTTTTTAATATTATGTTATTAAAATAAAAATTTATAAAAAAATAAAAATTTTAATATTAAATCTGGATTGTCTTTCATGCTCAGCAAGGCATGAGTATCGTAGTACTCATCACTATTAAGAAATTTAGATTGTTTAGACTTAAACTTTTTTTTATTTTTGTTTTATATTTACCTTCCAATAAGCTGTGCCATACCCAAGGCCTTCAACATGCATGGAATTAAGCAGCTTGTGTGTGCTTTGTTGACAATGTTGATACATTTGTCCTTTTTATCTAACTTGTATGCAGAGTCAAGACGTGATGATATATAGATTTCCATGTTTGTAATTTTGAAGGCTGCTTGAATATTCTTTTCGGTTGTAGCATGACGAATATGTAACTGTGTGTATTTGTCATATATATATATATATATAAACAATAATTAATGATGATTTGTACATTAGATCACAACATTTGTTTCTCTCAAGTAAAATGAATATTTTTTGTATTTATTAATTATGAAATTGATACTTGTTAAAATAAAATAGTGATTTATTTTTCCCAACTATTTAATATATTTTCTATTTGATCTGCTATATATTTGAAATTAAACTTTTATCAATATCTTGAAAAATATTATGTGGATTAGATTGAGAGCTATATTTTCAAACACTTAAACAAAACTACAGATTAATAGTGATATTTGTTTATTTTAATCTTTTTTTTCTTGAACAGAGGTTGCTTCGAAAGATTGATGTAATAAAATTACCCAAATTAGACATTTTGATTCCATTGTTTTGGGATGACCAACTTTCATACAGCTCATTTAGGAACTTGAAGTCAGTGGTTGTGGTGGAGAGCTGAGACTTCGTGAAATTTGTGCCCTTTCATGTGTTAAAAATCTTTAAAACAATTTGCAAAAAGTGGAGGTGAGTAAATTAAATGTGATATGTTAGAGGTGGTGTTTGATTTTAAAGATTTGGGTAATTTCAAAGAAATGCAACCACTAGTAGTTATTCCTACATTTATAGTCAAGGGTATGCGTCATCTTGAAGAGCTTGAAATAAAAGTAATTATTGCAAAAGATCAAGTTTTAAAATATGTTGATTTTACATTTTTGTTTTGGTTGACTTCCCTTGAGCTTTCCAAGTTTCCAAATTTGAGAAACTTTTATATAAAGAGACGCATTAGCATTGCCCAAAAATAAAAATAAAAATTAGAGACAGCTAGAAATCCATCTGTAATTATTTAAAGACGACTTTACTAAAAGTGACGTCAAATAATTCCGAGACAGATTTTTCTTGTTCATCACTAATTTGAGATGACGTGCTTTCGTCTCTAAATTAAAATTAACTCGTCTTTAATTTCATTTAAAAATCACCACCTTGAATCTTATAGAGGATATAATTCACCTCAAAATTCGTCTCTAAATTTAAAGATGAGTTTTAATCCATCATTAAAATAATTATATATAATTCATATATTTGTTAGAGGCGGATTACTCCCACTCTAAATCCGTCTCAAAAATATATATTTTTTAAACAAAATATTTCTCTTCATTCCTCCATTATCTTAATCCTTTGCAAATTTTTGACATTAATAACATCCAATTTAATAGCGAGAAAGAAAAATTCATAACAAGATATTGCCTTCAACATAGAACAAATGATTTGCGTTAAATAAAATAAAAAACATATAATTTCATAAAAGATGTTACATGGTCTTCTCCTGCCAGAATAAAAGATATCATTGTTCTGCAAATTCTTCAGACTAAACCTAACAAGGTAAAAAAAAAAAAAAACTATCTGCATGAAAAGCTCCAAGCACACACTTATTCCTAATTTTTTTTTTAAAAAGCAAGAACTGCAATGGTAGGTACAAAACTCACAAAATGCAATCATCACTATATACTTGACGCAAATCTCCTGTAACATAAACATGAAAAATAAACACTAAACCAACTTTGCATCAATATATATTAAATATAAAACCTTAAGGCAAGGAGTATGTGGAATACTCACCATTCATAAATAGAGAATAAGGTGGACCTTCCATGTTTTATTAGAATGAATGTAATTATCAATTTCCTCTTCCATAAACTGCTTCTTATGTTCACTTAAATGCTTCACATTGATACCTTTCCTTTGGACTAAGACCATGTGCATCCTCACAATTATCATACTTCAAGTAGTCAACTCCCTTGAAACATATAAGTACAAAACCTTTGAATATTATCATTGCAACTCAACAGTCACTCTAAGAATATAAAAAACAACTCCCTTGAAACATATATGTACAAAACCTTTGAACATTGTCATTGCAACTCAACAGTCACACTAAGAATATAAAAACCAACGAAGGGGCAGGAAAAAAATTAGAGATTACTAAATGCACATGCGCCATGGTGAAATCTATTTTTACACTTAGGTAACAGAATTTTGGAACTTGTTCTAACCGTGAAGATAAAATTGACATAGAAACAGCACAGATTACTTGCATCTGCACAAAAAGTTCAATTTTGATTGTCCTCAAAGATCTTTCAAGATGAAAATCTATAATGAGTTCAGTAGATGAGACAAGCAATAAGAACATATGCTGCATTCATGCCACGTGTAAATCATAACATTCATGCCTTTTATTTAAGTAGTTTATGTAAAGTTTTTTAAAAAAAAAAACAAAGAAGACTAATATGGCACCTAAAAGATGTGAAGTTAATTTCCATCCACCGTTTGTCCTGGTGTCACACATGTGCAAAATACAAAATAGTGAACCAAAGAGCACTTTTATAAAGTAACCTTGCCATTACTTCAGAAGTCACTGCAAAGAGAAAGAAAAGTAAATATTACTCTACAAATGAGAACAACTCTTTTCCATTCTGAAAATTCAGCCCCCAACACAAAAAACACAAACTAATTTGCTGATTCAATCTTACTATGTGCCATAAGTGGTTAAGAAAACACAAAATTCAGCAAACACTAATGTTTGCTGATCCACTCATAAAATAACTCACTTCTAACAGTGATTTCATTATTTCATTTCTATTTGGCACTCTGTTAAGTATTAACACTGTCCAAAATCATCAAAGACTAAATAACATTTTTAAAATTTAACGTGCAGGTCACTTAAATGTCCTTGGATCAATTCCAAGCTAAGACAAATCTATCTGACCATCCCGAAGTACCTCTAGAAAAAGAAGAGCGCATGATAACACTCTTGAGAAATAAAGTGCACAACAAAAAAGATTTTAAATGCATATAAGGTAAGTAAATGAATAACTAAAAAACCTCAGCCAAAACTAGGTATATCCATACCTCTGGTAATTAAGTACTAAAAATACATAAATTATATTTAGACTCCAACTAATTAACATAAAATTTACTAACTTCAAAAAACTGAGATACTAGCTTCTCTCTCCTTTTTTGATCAGCTTCCTGAGTTGCAAGCTCGATTTTTCTTAGAGACATCTGCAAACTCCACAAAAAAAAGAAAAGAAAAAACAGTCCCCGAAAAGTGCCTAAACTTAGGAACAACTCTACATTTGCACTGCAATTACATTTGTATTCCAAAATAGAAACAAAAACAGGATATAGTATTTCGATCAACTCTAGAAATTAAATCCTAATGCATATTAAGAATGAAAAAAATAAAACAGGCACAAGCGGCATACCCATATATATATGCTTGAACCTCCACTCCAAGCCATGCAGATCCGTTGCCACAAGCTCGTGTGAAGGACATGAATGATTGTAATCTAAAATAAAAGCTCACTTGAATTACTATGAAAGTACTATTTAAACATAATCTAGAAAGACAGTTATTGGTTGTAGCAACAAGCGCAGATTTAAGCATAAGGTTAGGCCACCATATTTTGAGACATTAAATATAATTAATATGATCTGACTCAACTTATGCATATGAAAGCACAAGTGAAATTAAAAATGATTGGAGAAAGACAAGCACAAGGTTGACTTCACTGCAGCTGCAACATCCTCATCTTCACAGTCAGCATCAATTTTCACCTTCCCATAGTCTTCTCATCCTCATCTTACCTGTAACGTTCTCAAGCACTAAAATTCACTCTTTAGAGCTCTAATCAAATCTTCCTTCCTCTAAATACCATTAACAAATAAAAAGAAAACTTAATGACATATATTCAAGTTTAATAAACTTTTTTCCAATATTAACAACAATGTAATCAACTAAATTCTCAAATCAGCCCAATTTATAACTTTGACCTTTCAATCCTTGAAGTATTGTGTATATATACTTTCTATCCAGCACTTTGTTTATATAATAATCTTTTTACTTTCCAACTCTTCTATAGCACATGTAGTTAAATTTAAATCATGGATACACACACACATCACACTTTACAACCAAGAATCTACAGTCCAAAAATTCAGAGGCATAGAATAGATAAATCTTAACTCTAACCATTTTCAGACATCGCATCGAATATTCCATAGACATCTTCAAGATGTGTGTCTGTGTGTAAACAATTTGGAGCTTGAATTTAGAAACCAAACGGTCCCCCCCCCCCCCCAAAAAAAAAAAAGATCTCTAATTCCATTCTAACTTTCATTGTAGAAAACAATTGCCTTCCATAGTCCTAATTTACAGCAATAAAATCATCACAATATTTTTTTACCACTATAATTCAAAATTTCTTCTCACAAACATTTTATCAAACACCTCCTAGACATTAGTGTTCACACTGTACATCTAAGTTCTTTCCTCCTCAGTCTCATCCTAACATATTCTAATGTCAATATATGAGTTTATTAAGGTTCCCAATTGTCACATAATCAGGAAAATTCAAAAAGAATACCAAAATTCATTATCTTAAAGTTTTCCCAAGCATCATTATTTATCACCAATTTCCTTCATATATACTACTCTAGCCATAACTAGTTATTTAAATGAGATCTAATCCTCCCTCAAACCTTTCAACAAACACCTAATATGCATCAATTCCTAATTTACTCAATGGAGCTTCTTATCCATCAATCATCTGCCAAAAAAAAATTCAGCATCAACATTTAGATTTATCATACTTTTCAAACCCATAGCCCATTAAGAATCAGATTAAGCTCAAATAAAATTCAAATCAACACTATCCTTCCTTCCTCATATATACGACACACATAGCAATAAAGAAAGGGAATAATTCACAATTTCTGCAATTTAAACAGACATACACGAACAGAACCAACAAGGAGCAGGGAGTTCAAAGCTCCTCACCTTCAATCAGCGGCGGAAAGAGCAAGCAGCAGCAACTAGCAGTGCAACCATGGGGGAAAAAAAAAGGTCCGTCACACACCCTCACCGCAACTGGAACAGAAAAGGAAGGAGTCGCCGATAGAGATGGATGAAGTACGCCTCAGCAACAGACATGATACGGGAGAGAAAGGAGAATAACCGACAGCGACACTCATACCTCTTGCATGAACCGAGGAGGAAGAGGAATCTCTAGCTTGTCTGTGGTCTCCGGCGGTGGACGAAAAGGAATGCGGAGAAGAGAGATTGCAGAAGATACAAAAGGGATAGGGTTTGGAGCTCACTCCCTTAGTCTCTCCCTGCTAAAGCTAGAAGGATCAGGGAAAGAAATATCCTGCTCCATCTGATCACTCTTCTTTTTTTGCCCCTCTTCTCTTTATAGGATAGAAATGTAATTTTACGATGTTGTGGCAAATAAAAAATTCCTGGCCTCGCACCACCAAGATTCGAACCAGGGCCATACAACAGCAAGAATTTTCACTAAACCACAAACACATCATGCTATACGAAACGAATGAAAATGTACATAAATTAAGGTATCATAAATTTTGATTTAACTCAACTTATTGGGTTATTACAACTTCAAACCTAACAGATATCCACTAATTATATTCAATTTAGCTTTAAAAATCTACACAAAATAAAATAACATTCAATAGCCATATGTATAAAAATATTAAATGGATAATTTTATCATAATTTTCAAGATTTAATTAATTAATAAAATATAATCTATTTAATCTCAATTAGTCACAATTCATTAATAAAATGACCAAGTGAAGAGGATAAAAATATAATGTATTAGGGAGCTTGGGCTAAAAAATGATTCGAGAAATGACTAAAATTTAAGGAGATAGGGAGTTTTAATTGAAAATCAAAGATCCATGTTAACACTACAGGTAATAAAAAACTAACAATTTCCTAATTTTTATAAAAATATTTTATAAAATTTTTGAGATAACTTTAGAGACAGATTTGTTAATAATTACACATGGATTTCTTGCTGTCTCTAAAAAAGTCTCGATGATTATTTTAGAAGTAAATTTAGAGATGGGTATAAAAAAAAATAACTTGAATAGTTAGAGACAAACTCAAGTGGTCTCAAAAATTGTCTCTATTAAAATTTAGCTACGATGTTGGAGACGGAGATTTTAGATACCTTTTTATTTGTTTCCAAATTTGTGTCTAACATTTTTAAATTATTTTTACAAAAACAAGTTATATAAATAATTAAAATATTTATTACATGTCTCTAATTCCATTTCTATTAGAGACGCGTTATAATCTGTTTTTAAATTGAGTTTTTTTTATAGTATAAAATGGCCACACCTTCAAATATTAGATATTACACGAATGTTATGAATTAGAGATATTTGAAAAGGAAGACTCAATTTAGTTTATTAAAAATACACAAGGAAGACAACATTCTTGAAACAAAATATCATCTGCTCTCCTGCAACAAAGTACCTTCTTACATCAACTATTCATTGTTTATTTATTTTAAAAGTGAGCTAATAAAAAAGGATATGCATTTTTATTCATTAATTATTTGTTGCTCTCTCTGTTCAGTATAAAACATTTTCTAAAGTACATCATATTAAAAAAAATACATGCAATGCATTTTAAATTGTTAAGGTGTAACTAATAAGGTTTTTTTAACAGTGCCCTTAATTAAGGGGTGTAATTGATAATGTTTTTTAAAAAGATACTCTATTAAATATGGATAAATGTGAAAAAAAATGAACACACTTTCAATTGTTAAATATTAATAGAAGTTATGAATTGGATATATTTGAAAAGGAAGTTTCAAGGTTATCAAAAATACATAAGAAGAAGAGAGAAAACTTGACACAAAATATCATTTACTCTCTTGTGACAAGGCATCTTCCTAAATTATCTATTCATTGTTCACAATCAATTTATACATAGATTATAATAGGATTTTGGCTCTCAAATTGCATAATTGTGGTTAATAATATGGGAAAAATAGGAATATATTACTTCACTAAAGAGTATTTTATGTAAATTGAAGAGGAAGAAAGCAAAAAGAGGCAAAGAACATATTAAAAAGCAATAATCAATCTGTCTATTTACATCTGTGCATGGACAAAGCTTGTAAAGATCATGATCATCTGCGAATGAAGCATCCATCCTTGGCTTGTAGTCCTGACTCTTTCATAGGTTATATATGGTCACAACTAATGTAAATAGGGCTACTTTATATAGTGGTTCATCAATGTAACTGCAACAAAAAGTGGGGAGTGTGTATTATTTTTAAATTTTTTAACATCTTCCTACATCAGTTTTATAACTGATAAGAAAACTATTTATTATAGCAGTTGCAAAACTGATAATAACTTTCTACATTTCTTGTAACAACATTGTTTTTTTAATCATTGTTAAAAGCTTTTTTGTAGAAATTTATTATCAGTATTTTTTAATCACTTTGTATTGTTGTTATGTTCTACTAGAGTGAGATGGATGAGATAAGTGAGAGCAATAGAGGAAAGGAGGATCATGTTGGTGACTGTGGAGGTGGTAGAGAGAGAGATAAGCATATGTCAGAGGATTCTTCTCCTCAACTGGAGTTCATGTTTAAGGGTGGGGTCGAGGAGAAAATGGAGGGTAAAGGGATGATTTAGAATGAAAGTATTGATAACACTAGGAAAAAACTTGTGGCTGTATCTTATAGGGAAAAGCTAATGTCTATTAGCTGTTTTGATTTTTTGCTAAGCATGAAGAAGATGAAGATATCATTGATGGATGGAAAGTGTACTTTGGCAAACAAAACCAAGAGGAGGGGGCTAAGAAAGCAAATAAAGATTAGGTTGATGATTTAATCAAAGAGGAGGTAGAAAGGGTGCGGATTCCTACACTGAAAAGTCATGGTGGAGGAGTATGAGGGATGATGTAAGCCATGGTGGAATTCTCTTATTATCAAAGTACTAGGCATGACAATCCAAACTGTCTGTTACAAGCAAGGATACAAAACATGGGGAAACCACAAGGGACAATGAGGGTTTCACCTTTGAGCAATGGTTATTTTGTTGTTTCACTTTTGATCATGGATGATTGATGATCATTATATTTTGGTGCAACGATGGAGGCCAAATTTCAATCTGTGAAAGGCTGATACATAATGGCAGATTGCTGTGTGTGTGCATATACTGGATTTTCGTTTGAGCTTTATAATGCGGAATGATTAAGAAGGATAGGTAACATGGTAGGTAGAACTCTAAAGGTAAACCTCTCCACTTTAATATATGATAAAGGAGGATTTGTGTGGAGATTGATCTTCATAAACCTCTTTTATTAAGTTTTGCTGCATTTTGTAAAGTATGAAAGTTTGTGTATGAGGGGTTGCATTAAGTGTGCTTCCATTATGGAAAGTATGGGCATCTCAGTAAGGATTGCCCATTAACAAACACTGAGAGTGAATAGGGTGAGGTAACCTCAATGGTAAAGGAGGAAAATAGAGATGAGAGTAGGAGGCAAAATAGGAATAAAATGGTTAATAAGATGGTCTCAATATCATTGCCGATGATGGAGATAGGTTGATCAAAGAAGGAGATGCAGTTGAGTCTGAATAATTTGATAATACAGGATTTCTATAGGAATGTTGAAACCACAGATTCTAAGGGATTTGACAGGGTTATTTATTCAAAGAATCAGTTGATTGAGAATGTAGGACGAGAAAATCAAATGGAAACACATGTTAGTTATAAGGCAAAGTCAAATTAGAAGCAAGAAGGATATTCAAAGGGGTCAAATGGTAGGATATTTGGGAAGGAAATTAATCAAACAAAAAGTGCATAGGTCCCAATAGGACATAAAAGAAAGAATGATCGGAGGAGTAGGCTATGGGATAAAAAAGGCTGTTATGGTGGCTCAAAATGATGGGCCTATACATGGATTAAATTCTTTTAAGGTTTTAAAATTATTAGATTCAAATAAAATGGATATGGGCTTTAATTATTACTGAAGCAGGGCGAGTGGACGCTTAAATGGAAGATTGTAATAGCGGGCCTCCAAACATGAATGCAAATATCCATATGAATGGTGAGGTTGAGGTAGGTTGAAAAATATGCTCTAAGTAAATGGATCATGCAAACTTTGACTACTATTCATATGGATGCATGCATGGAAACATAAGGTACATCATTCTCAAAGAGCACTCCTTCTCCAAGAAGTTTCCCATGAATTATATGATTTGGAATTCTAGGGGTATAGGGTCAAAGTCTTTTTCCTACCTTGTACAAGATCTAAAAAAACATTATACACTTGATTTCTTAGCTATTTTTGAAACACAAGCGAGTGTCCAAAATAAGCTGGGATTTTTGTGTTGGATAGGGAGGCACATCAAAAGATTAAAATTTTAAAGTCCCTATCCTGATATGGACCGAACGAACTCGTTTAAGTCAAGGTGGATAGAAGAGTTATCTTTTTAATTCTTTAAAGTTGGCGCACGATTGGATCTCAGGAGCTGACAACGTAGATCTGCCCCCTCTACCGATATCTACACGAACATCTCTCTAACTCGAACAGCATGCTAGCGCTCTTAATGTCTGTTCTTCTTTGAATGTTAATTTTCCTTTCTATAGGGTGTTTCATGGATCTTAGAATGTTTTTGCTGTCAAAACTTTTCTAACTCTCTCTTCCTTTATAAGGACGTCCTTATCTATATATAGTATGTAGATAAGGGTTTTCGTCTTCCACTTAAAAGCTCACGAAAATTTAATTAAATTTATCTCATAAATTTAATCCATAATATCATATCTAATTTAAATTTATCTTATAAATTTAAATTATAAAGCTGACATGATATTCTCTCTTATCATGTTAGTTATTAAATTTAATCTATCATATAAAATTAAATTTAAAACTAACATAATATAATATAATATATATCACATATACATATTATATTATATATATATATATATATTATATACATATATATTTCAAAAAATATATATACATATATATTATATTATTTATATTTAATTTTATATATCATATATGTATATCATTTATATATATATATGATATATATATTTTGAAAATATATATATATAATTATATTTGAAATTTTATATAATATATATATGTATATAAACATTTATCAAATAAATATTTAAATATATATATATATATATATAATTCATTCACCCTATATTATATTCACTGAATCTAGACATATTCCAGATTCAACGAACTTGGATATTATAGCTCGAGTTGGGCTATTCTTGTGTGTGATCTTGTAGGCCTATATGAAATTGGCAGTGAGCTAATTACGTTATTAGTCCACAAGTTATAAGTAGCCTCTAGCAAAACATTGCAACTACCCAATTCA